ACAAACACAAAGGTAGAAAAAAGGTGAGGTGAGTACTATGGAAGTAGTCGAATTTGACATATAGTGAGGTGATGGTAGTTTGAAGTGAGAAGTCAACTGCCAGTTAATAGACTTTTTTGCCGTATTTGTATACATTGCCCATTGTGCACCACGTGAAGGTAAGTCTAACGCACACCCCATATATATAATTATGAGTAGTTGAAAATCACTTCGAAAACACCAAATATGGTTTAAGATATTTTACTAGTTGTTTGCTGCTAAGGTACACCACCTGTGCGATCTATTTGAAAGTTCCCTTAATTTGCGTGCAACGTGTGTGCATTCGTGTTAAGGACAGGGGGTAACTTTCGATCGCTACTGCTGTATCCATTTTCATTACTTCATTTCGTTATGTGAAGAATTCTGCGAACCATTTCACTTCTTAATTCTGGTTTCCGTATTGATTACAAGTCCACCAAAGAGTTGATCATAAATTGGTATTATTAGTGACGTCATTATATAACATCAATCAAGTGTATCCCAGTCTTTTAAAGAGGTGATCGGTGCTTACTTTTGTAGTTATATGACTTAAGCAATTTATTAATGTGGAGGCATCGAAATAATTATAAATTGGTATTGGCATCTCGGTACTGTTTCGCATCGCCATTGGGACTCAATATTTGTGATTGCTATTCAGTTGAGCGTTTGGTTTCAATTTTTATTCCTGGTATACCTTGCACGAAAAACCATAAATACCATATATTCTAGGTTTGTTGGGGAAATGATGTACCACCTGGTCCCTATTTGTTACTAACTTCTATGAGTAGAATGTTTTGTGTCTGCTCTTTTTAATTTATAGAAATATGTATTGGGACTGTTTACAAGTGTCTTCCCGCTTATTTATCATACATTAACCCCAATAGCTCGTTTCTATATACGGTATAACCCGAACCTATTTTGGAAACGGTACCACAAACTGTTCTGTTTAAGATGAATATAGAATCATTTTGCCCTTCTAATTTTTTTTTAAGTTAGTGGAGGGTTGAGAGTTTAATTTAATTTGACATCACTCCATAATCTGCGCTGTTAAAATTTCAGTGGAAACACCAAATACGTGGAGAAGTTGGAATTCAATTTATTCGCATTCGCTCATTTAATGCTTCTGAGGGCTTTAGGAAATCGATTGTGCTTAGTGTAGCTCGGAGTTTTGCAAGACGAGTTCCGTCGATTGTTCGCTTCGATTTGTGCGTGTTGCTTCCTAATGCCCTATTAGCATCTTTTCACATGAACAGCTATTTCCGAACTATCTGACTAGTTTACCTTTTTTCTGGTCTCAAAATTACGTTGGCTTTTATGTGGGGAGTTCTTTCTTTCACGCATAATACTTTGTTGTGTGATCCGACAATACTAAATGAACTTAAAGCTCGCGATTTGGGAATATATGTACATCTTGAAGCATGCATTATTGCTAATAATTGTGTCCACGTGTTCCTCCCTCCTAATTGTTTCAAAGGCTCGTTTTTTAATTGGAGCTGGCATGTCACAAATGTCCGTTACTCTGTAGTGTACATCCAGTGAACGAAATGGCCATTCGCACTGTTTTAAACATTGCCCAAAGGAGGAAGGCAAATGTACTGCTACCTAGTGGTCAACGCGCACCTCTGTCTAGTCAAAGGTCACACGAGATCGATGGTCTTGAGTGTACATCTAGTGGAGCTGATGACCAACCTCACTGGCTAGCTCTCGAGTCAATCGTTATTTTTTTCGTTCAGGTAGCTCCATAATACATTCCTGTTGCACACTTGAGGTACGGATAAATTTACTCGTCTACCCTAGAAGGTTTCTTTTATTCTAGATTAGTGAAAGTTATCCTTGGATTTTTGACTTACTTTTGAACGTATTGGAGCTTGGAATTGCCTTTAACTCGTTATGTCAATTCTTTTCTGCTTTATTAGGTGTGAATCGCTGTTGATGTTGTTTTTCGCCCTCTTTCCAGTTTGTATATCCTTCAATTTAAGTTGTTTGGTTGGTGAGAATTGGTTAGAAAATGAAGCTTTGAAGGCGGGGAAATCGGAAATAGATCATAGGAAGTGCTCCCATGGGATCATAATAGCCTTCGGTATTTTTTTTTTTGATCATTGGTTGAATGCAATTTTCACGCCTGGAAATTGTCTTGTTGTATCAATTAACAACCTGAGTCATTCAATTACTTTTGGGGTTCACATTAGCACCTGCGTCTCAACTGTGTTGTTTATGTTATTTGTGACCTCATTTATTCGGTTGGTGTCACTCATCTAAATGGGGTCGGATCTGGTATTGGCATAGTAGTAGTGCGTATCTAAATGCAAGTATTAGTTTGCTTGCTATGATTGTGGTATATTTACCATTGTGTTGGCGTAATTCTAAGATTTGTGCTGTATCCGCAAACTTCTAATTCTTAATATCAAACGGCAGGCGTTTTGACGGTTATCATTGGCCCTTTAGTTGACTTCAGGCTTCACAGGGGAAGGAACATCAAAGTGAAAAAAAGTCGAGAGGGGGGAGGAACAGAAGAGTGTTTCAAAGACAAAGGTAGAAAAATGGTGAGGTGAGTACTGTGGAAGTAGTGAAATATGGGATAGAGTGGGGTGAAGGTAGTTTGAAGTCAGAAGTCAACTGCCAGTTTATAGACTTTTTTGATGTATGAGTATACGTTGCCCAGGGTGCACACCCGACCTTCGTTTTAAATTAATTCTATTTAAATTCAAAAACAAATTCATTTTAACATTTTTCTATTCGATTTGATATTAACCAAGATGTCTTTCAATTATCATTATGCGGGGTACGATAGTATTTCTGTTCTCCAGTAAAGGTGTTCCTACCTTGTATATTATTTGCCATGCGCAGTGGGGGTCGAGTAGTGGGATGCTTTTTTATACTGCTTACTAGGAATCAGGAAAATCCCAAAGCAGATTAATATTAAGGTCTCCTATTTATCCCAAACAAAATTGAACTGACCAAAATTACTTTAACCTGCATCTTATGCTCCTATGTACAGATTCTTAACATACAGTTTCTTTCTTAACAGAATCGAATACCTCCAGAAAACCGCTTCCAGGTGGACTCCCTTCTTGAAGCGGTAGATCAGAGAGTAGCTCTAAACGAGACCCCACCTCAGCCCTCAACATCCAGCACACCTATCCAGCACTCTTCCAGTGCAATTTCCTCCAACACAGCACTTTCTATTGCACCGGAAAGCACAGTTAGCACTCAATCACCAATACCCTCTCCTTCCACCTCGTCGACACCTCGTCGTCGAAGGTTCTCAGTGTTTGGTGGTGGACAGCAGCAGTTACGTCGTTTCAGATCCGCCCCCTTCTCCCTTGCAAGAGTTATTGAGACAGCTGGTCCACGGCTGAGAGTTAGACTCGTGGGCACGGATGATCGGAATGACTGCTGGTTCCTGGTGGACTCCGATGAGATTCGACCCTATCCTTCGAACGAGACCCTCCAACCCCCCTTTGGATACGTGCACAATCATTTAGTTTGGAATAAGACACTAAGGAAAACGGTCGAAGAGGGAAAAGCCGCGCTTCCTGAATGCTTCGCCAGGGTTAGTTTTTTTAGGAAAATGTATCTTAGCTTTTTATAGGGGTTGGGAAGTTATCAATGAGAACGAAAAAAATCATTTAAAATATTTCTCTTGGACTATCTCGTATTTCTACTTATCTTCAATATTGATTGATAAAAATGGAATTGATGCATTGACCGTTCTCCTTTCGAAATCTCTCGTAAATTCCTCCGGAGCTTAGCTATCTAAATATGTGTGATGAAATGGCACTCGTCTTGATTTCAGCTTGTTGAAATGAATAGGAAACCTATGTCGGAGTTTCCTCTTTGTCCAGAATCTAGATGTCTGGAAGTTATAACCTCATCAATGGAGCGTATTATCTTGGGGTGAAGAGCAGCACTGTGACACCTCTTTGATGAGAAATTCGCATTCCGCTCACCATTGGTTAGATTTGGTCATGTGTGTGGTTTGCAGTGCGCTTTGCTCACGAATGTCAATTCCTTCTTCTCGCCTTATCAAAATGTGCCGTAAAAAAAATTCCTGTCCATGACTTATTGCTCGTCTTTAGAGATTTATATAAAATGGCAGGCATTATGATAGTTAGCATTAGCCCTTCAGTTGACTCTGGACTTCACAGAGCTGAGGAAGAACTTCAAAGTCGCAGGAAGTCGGGAGGGCGAGCAGAGTGTAATTCATAGCTGTAAAAGATAGACCGACACAAAGGTAGAGAAAAAGGTAAGATAAGTACAGTGAAAGTGGTGGAATATAACATACAATCGGGTCATGGTAATTTGGAGTCAGAAGTCAACTGCCAGTTAATAGTATGCGTTTCCCAGAGTGCACCACGTGGAGGTAAGTCTATCGCA